TACCGCTCCGACGAAACGTTAGCACGCGCCATATTTGAAAATTTAACCCGTTCAAACACAATTTTCTCGAAAACTTCTTTTTTAACGCATGCTAACCTGCGTTAGGGTATCAAAATTATTTCATGGGCAGGACAAATGAGATTGCTTTTCTCTCGTATCAAAGCCCAACGTCAAAAGCAACTGCAAAAAGTCGTCGAATGTGACGAAGAAGATGAAGATGAACTCAAGGATGATCAGGCCGTCGAAAAGGTGTTTGAAAAACGACAATTAAAAAACACGAAACAGCTTTGTAATCCAAAACATTCTAAGCCGCCGAAACGTTTCGGTTTTTCAACACCACAACTCGATAAAAAGAAACGTTCATCATCATCATCAAAAACAAAAAACAAACGCACGAAAATTCGATGATTAATAACATACACTACAATTATTTACTACTTGTTTTCTACAACCGACTATTAACATCTTACATATTCATAAACACCTTTCTTGACATGTTTTTACGTGTTTGTGATGAAACATGAGTTTATAGCACTCAAAATATCTTTAGAACGATTTTCATGATTACACTAATGCTAATGGCAGTCACTCTTGAGCATTTTTCGGCCTCTTGCGAAGGTTGTATTTCACTGTACTATAGTGCATTTCTTTGCAAGAAGTGCTAAAAATTGTTCTATGCCAACGAAATTTACTGTCATAATAATTGTTTTACTAACGAAATCAGCTTCTTACAGCTATTTACTTTATAATAATAATATTAAAATAACATTATTAAAATACTGAAAAGGATCCAAAGGACGCTGTTAAAAATGCTCATGAATCGATCCCTCTTGGAAATGTTCTAATTTCAGTGCAGATCGATAGCCAATTCAATTTCATGTACTTTTCCGTATATTTCAGAGCTTCGAAATGAGTTTTGTTGCAAGAATAAGTTTTAATAAATACCAACCTTCTTCACGCATGTGGAGAAGTAGAGTTAAGTATCCTCTGCAAAATGAGACTTGTCACGCTCCTCCATGACGTTTCCGTTCCTGACCCTATAAATGAGGAGCCAAAGTAGGTCTGACGGGTACTCTTACCATGAAAAAGTAAAAAGTGCTAGAGACTTCATTGTTGCATCATACGAACAAACTTGGAAGTCGCTTTCATTTTTATATAAATAAAGTTATGTTTTCTTAGCTTTTGAGCTCGTCTAACGCGCTATGAAACGAGGGATATCGGCTGATGTAGATAAGGTCCTTCAGTTAAAACTTTTTTCGAATGTCCGTAGAGAAAATCTCATTTGCGGATAGAAATATACAACTTTGTATGCTCTTCCAGCTACCAGTATGAGAACGCTTGATAATATTAGATCAGGTTGGATTTCGCTATCCTAGCACCTCTAAAAACGCTTCAATTCAGAACTTATGGCCGAGGAAAACCCATGTTCGGAATAATTTTTCCATGAGACAACAGGGGGTCTTTACATACCTTTAGTAGGACTGTCAACTGCGTATACATGGTTCCACTAGTATTGCGGTGAAAAATAAAACGAGGTTATTTATCGTACCAGGAAGATCTTTTGTTCTTCTTTGCAGGCTGTTAGTAATGCAGTGCGTGACGTTGAGTGGTAACGATCG